TTTTTGGACGGAACCTTGGCTGCATGGACTGCGCGGGGCTTTGATCATGAACATGAGATCTCAGTTGTCGTTGGCGCCAGATCTTACTTGTCGTTGGCGCCATATGGCGCCAGTAGGCGCCATTTCGGCGCTAGCAGTCTTTTTGGCACCGAATGCGATAGAAACCTCCATAGCTAGGTTATTTGACATCCTTGTCACGAATATATCGTTGCCTTTCAGTGTTTGCGCCATCAGGCGCCAGCGGGCGCCTGGTATTAAAAAGTGGGCGTGGCCGGCTATGTGTCGGTGTGGCCATCTATGAATCATTGTAATGTGTGAAAAGCAGAAAATTCCAAGAAAATTCTTAGAAACAGAAGTTATGGCACACATTTTGGAAATCACGATCGCGCTAAAAAGTGGGCGTGATCGCAGAGGGCGGGGCATGAGATGGCATCCAGTAGGGTCAAGGATGGTTGAAATAGCAGTCCCTGCACGATTGACTAATCATTTTGCGAAATTTGACATAGCGGCAAAAAAGTGGTCCACGAGGGACAATATGAGCCACCGGTGGCTCAAAGCGGACGCATGCGAAAACACGCCATTGTCCCACGCGGCGCTTTCCCGCAAAACGCGATTGTCGTCAACGTGTTAAGAATCACAACTCATGACAAATTTTTTGACCAAACTTCATTACTTTTCTGACGACGTGAGGATCCCTACCAATCCTCCACTCATGTAGTGGTGGGTGGGTAGCGAGATGATCCGAACTATCCAAAGCAGATCACCTGCCTGGACGAGGTTTGTCTCCCAGATAGAGTCACTTAACCAGAAACGATTGAGCCATTTCAACGCCGTACTATGGAAGATATCTTCAGGGCATAACTCAGAGCAAATGCCGTGTGTGGCTCAAACCACGTTATTGCCTATGGTGCAAGATTCATACGACCACACCTGACAAGGATGAATTTCAATTACCCAGTTCAGGATGACGGCAGCTGTCACCGGACTTGATCAGAACGAGGTGTCACGGGCCAGTTGAAAAAACCAAAAAAAAAAAAAAAAAAAAAAAAAAAAAAAAAAAAAAAAAAATAAAAAAAAAACTGTAGCAACAATGAGGTGCCAAAAATACGGATAGGACCATTTTTATCAACCTATATTGGCTTATACACACGTAATATACACATAATCATAAGTACATATCGTAACAGTGGACTGCATTTCTGCGTTTATACTTTGCGAACTTGCTGCTAGTCACTTATACTCTGAAAGAGCAAACTGCAGCAAGGTCACGGTATAAACGGCAGTAAAACAACGCAGTATAATCATGCAGCTAAAGACCGATAAAGAGGAAAACCGTACCAACAAAACAGATACAAAGTAAATTTCGGAAAAGGCTCGACCAGAGGTAATAATCCAGAAGAACAGTCAATTCATACATAAGAAAGCTGACTTAAAGACACATTTCGCGACTAAAGAGGCATGCGGAAAAGTAGGAGACAATGATCACATACGAGGTACCTGGGACGAAGGATGAGAGAACAGAAAGACAAACGAGACAAGGACACGAACATCTGCTAACCATGTGGGTCGGCGTGGGCCTACTGGGCCCAAGTCATGAACCAAAAGCGCATTTGCCGCACTTTTCCAAGCCACTAAAGGGTACAGAATCTATGATTGAGACCACTTTATCTCACACGCAAGTCACTACGTTGTGCAATCGCAAAATGTGCCTTTAAGCATCAATTCAACGCTAGAAGTGAAACATTTTCAAAGAAAAGAAACGATGAATCGAAATCAGAAAGGCGATGACAAAAAAAACTATTACACAGAGTCAGCGAGTTTCAAGAAACCAACGTAAAATTGTCCCACAGATCTACATGGGAGTGGCAATGAATAGCTGCTCAATAGCAGATGTTCGATGAGTTTCATGCAGCACCCCAACGGCACGTCGATCAGACCAACGCTAGCATCTTCACCGTTTGCACGTGGATCGCTGGAAAAAGCAGCAAGAATAATCACCAAGTTTGCCGATAATACGAACCCTGCGCTTGAACGAATCGTATTCGCTTCCTTGCCCAGTGCGGTGCGTAACTACAAGGGTTGTTCCACTTTGGCGGTCACACAATGAGTGAAGAGGGCCGTGCAGCCATCATAAACTACTGTTATATACGATAGGCCGTACAGTACACCGTATATAACTGCTACCTATGACGCCACAGCGTCCTCGCGCCGGGAAGGGATAATACGAATTGCTTGAGCGCGGGGTCTGCCTCGAAATACAGCTAAGGTCACAATTCAATAAGGTCACTTCAAGTGACCCGTTTGGCATGCTGACGTGTGAGATCGCGTTCAGACTTAGCAATCGTATCGCTCGATGGAATCGAGCGGCAACGACCGGCGGCGCTCCATAGCCAAACGGTGAACCGCCGCAACGGTACAAATCAATTTGACACTGTGTGAACGCAGCCCAATTTGAATTCTGCCGTTGCGGCAGTGCACGACTTGGCGATGGAGCGCCCCAAGTAGTGGTTGCGCGGTCCAACCGAGCGAACCGAACGCGAAGTCTGAACGCGGTCTAAGACCCTCCCTCAGAATCACAAAAACTTGTTCAGTGTTGGCTTATAGTGGTCTAATAGTGGTCAAATTCGCCTACTTACACCCACAAAAAAGTCTGTTCATCTCTCATTTGTTTTAAAACGAAGGCTGCGATCATATCGCTGGATTTTCGTCTCTCCAGATTACGCTTAGAGCGAGTTATCGAAAAAACATCAAAAAAACTAGTTAGAATACTCACGTTGCCGCACTCTGAGCGTCGAATACCTTGTAGAGCATTTTCACAGCAGGAAACGGATGAATCTCCACTGAAATTAAAAGGCAGTTCAACCTTGATGACGAGAAAAGGAATTTACTTTCACCAAATCACAAGACATTTCTAATTCAAAGGGCGATGCTCATTGCTCATCCGCATTTGCCAAGGTCCGAAGACCAGGTGGGCCGGGCACGTCATGCGTTTCAAAAACGACCGTTGGGGCAGAGCGATCACCAGCTGGATTCCACGGGATTTCGAACGAACACTTGGACGACCGCCTACTCGATGCTAAGAGTTCCTCGTGAAAGCTCTGATCGAACGGTATGACGTTCATCGTGTCCCTCGAGCACAAATAACCCCTTGGTACTCTAGCACGCTGCAGGGACGAACTAACACGTTACTGGGCGAAGAACTCGATGATCAAGGAAAATGGCACAGGGTGCAACCATACATGATGAAATTCATACCACTTCGCAGCTTCCCACGAGTTCACAGGTTTCATCAAAGTGAGAAAACTAAAAAGATAGCAACAAAAGTGCCACACTCTCCCCCGCCTCCTCCATCCACCTCTCCACTCAAACAGCGCGGATTTTTTTGGATACGCGATGCAGCTGACGTGCGTACCGTAGGTGGTACAAACTATTAACAGATTTAAACCAGGTGACAGCCATCACTTATCCTCTCGCTATTAGCGACCACGTAACTTTCGACTACTTTGTATCTAGCATCAGGAGCCCTCACTGTTAGAAAAAATCATAAAACCAGAAAAGAAACCTACTTCCGGATTCTACGGTGTCTTCATCGTGGAGTTCACCTGAGGCCGCAACAACGTACGAGTCCAGCAACCATATCTAAAACATCCGTTTTGTAGGCATTCTATAGGCGGGAACTAAGCAAGCCAATGCTGTGAACTTCGAACAAGTCCTTGTTCCAAGAGGTGGAATGTCGCTCCAAGCATGAATAGCACACCCGTTTGGAGAAAAAACCTGACAGCCAGGGGGTTTTAGTGGCGAAGCGAGCACCGCATGTACGAGGAGATTTCAAGCGCCGAGCGAATATTATTTTCGTGTTCAGCGAGTTAAACTACTCCTAATTTCGTGTTTTACGATACTTCATGCTGGCGTGAAACGGTATACGGTTAAACATAATGGTGTTCAGGGAGTCGAAGTGCTCGAGGACAAAACTCCAGCCAAGTGCCAAGCCAAATAGGCCAATTGCACCCCAAAAAAATTTCCTTGAAAGATGGTCGAATTTCAAAGAGTGTTCCTTCTCTTCCATTTTGAAGCTTTTAGCCTATAGCAAAGTCAAACATCAAAACGGTGAACTGTAACACAGGCTTAACCAGATCGATAAAGTAAAGGTTTGGTCGCGGTAGATCACAATGTTGATCGCGCGACCGCGCCCTATGAAAAGGAAGCCGAGCCATCACAGGACAGTTCATTGTCTTCATTTCCAAATTTCTTATTTTCAGCGTCTGCTCTTCCCGTCCGTGGGGTCCCTCACCCCAATATCTTATGGTTTTTTTGCTGTTTTTGATCGATTGTTGCTTCCTTTCGTTGTAGATAAAATTTTTTTTACTGCTCTCGAGTGCACATTCACATGGGGGCCAAGCCGGCTCGAAATCAGTAGAAAAGGGAACTAATCAGCTTTCGACCGAGAAGTGCTCAGCAGCTGAAGCAATCAATGACCCAGAAGTGGTCAATTATCATAGTGATCAGCAATCCAGGAATGCGGTGTGCAGAAATTCGCCTGTCCCAGTATGAGTGGGGCAAAGTTTTGGCCACCAGCTAGACGTTGCTTACTGACGTCGATCCGAGAATTGCAACTTCGCAAGAGCATATGTACAAGCAGCTATCAAGGACGTGTTTGCAGAAGAGAAAAGCAAGCTAGTACGTCCGACGGCGAAGATTTACAGAGTGCTACGGACCAGACGGAGAATGTCGATCCGAATGTCGCTGAAGAATCCACTTTGCTGAGCCCAATGGTAAGCACATTTGAAAAAGTTCTACAAAGACGGAGGTCTGCATCGCGAAAAGTTAGAATTGTAGCGCTGCGATGCTAAACAAGTGGTCCACCACGCAACCAAGCAGGAAGAAAAAAAGATGTTGCAGCACAACTCTTGCGAACAAAAGCGGCGGACCGTATGAGACTTCAAAAAAGGAGGCGGATGATTTTGGCTGGCCAAGAGCCCATGGGAAGTGACGGAAGATACATCTCATCCTCTGCATCAGCAATTCATATGCCATGAAGATCAGCTTGTCAAGCCACCAGGAGACTATAAATACCGTATCGGGTTCAAGTGCCCGCTCGTCCAAGAAGAGAATGCAAGGAAGCTGTCAAATGTGTTGCAGGACTTGCCTGAAACAATGAGAGACATTACCTTCAACAGCACGGCACGACTTGCGGAACTCATCACCATCTGGATGAGGGAAGATTGGTCAGACGACCATAAACTCATTCATGATGGCAAAACAGAATGCAAGAACGAAGATCTCAGGAGAAGCCCTGGCATTAGCACTGCTATACTGTAAGAAAAATGTTCGCACATTCAGCTCAGCCTGGAGAACCTGAGCCTCCGAAGATGTTTATCATGAAGCGATCCAATGTGATGAAGGAGTTAGTGGAATGGTGCAAGCTGCTCTAAAAATGATGGCTGGACAAGCATGGAAAGCACCATACAAGAAAAAGAAGAGGCAGCACTACATTCCAACGCCACGATGCCTCTCGAAGATCCACCTGGAAAAAACTATTACCGGCATCGCTTTCGACATCAAGGATTTACCAAAGATAGCCATCATTTCGGATGTCCTCGTGATAGTCGTGCAGAAGAAACCGACGCCGACGACGTGACCAATAAATTAGTGCCATGGATAGAAAACATGGCATCAGATGACATACAGATTGCCATCGGCGTAGCCCCAATGGAGCACCAGACGCAGGAACATGAAAGAAAATGGACACGCGTATACGAGTCTATGGAAGTCGCCGTAGACAACCTCAGAAGAGTTGTCAATAATGTGACACTATTGCCAGACGCACAACCAGGAGAGTGGGACCACCCACATCGGTCCCTGGGGACCGCCCCATACGACCAGAATGGCGTCATCGGATTTTATGCTACCAGGAGATGGTATGATAGCATAAGGAAGTTCTGGGTGCCAGGATGGCCGGCTCTTACCGAGAAACCGCAAAAAGAGGAAGAGGCGCCGCCACAGAGGAAGCGGTTGCGCGAGCCCACGATACGGTATAGCCGCCTCGGAACCCGAATCCGCAGAAACAGCATTCTTTGTCGGAGAAAAAGACTAGCGCCTCATCATAAACAAATGTGTGTTCTGAAACAAAAAAATTCTTATTTCTGGTACTGAAGAATGTACTAAAGAAGCTATTCGACACCCCAGCCAAAGATAAAGGGGACGAGTGAGGGACCATTCTCAGTAATCCAAGGGTGTAACACAGGCTGAACGCTAGATCGATAAAGTAAAAGTTCGATCGCGGATTCGTAGATCACAATGGTGATCGCGCGGAATCGCGCTCTATAAAAAGAAGCCGAGCCATCACCGGACAGCTCACTGTGCCGAGCCATCACCGGACAGCTCATTGTCTTCATTTCCGAATTTCTTATTTCCAGCGTCTGCTCTTCCCGCCGTGGGGTCCCTCACCCCAATATCTTAGGTGTTTTTCTGCTGTATTTGGTCGATTGTTGTTTTTCTTTTGTTGTAGATAAAGTTTTTTTTTTCACTGCTTTCGAGTGTACAACCACACAGAATTACAATATAGGTAACTAAAAAAGTTGCTAGGTTTTGCTTTGGACACATGGCGATACGCTCTTTCGAACTGATAGTACTTTCAGAAATAGACTCACTAGTAAATGCGGCGTCTTGTTAAGTGATCGTACAACGAGTTTAAGACTAGACTGCGCTTCACATGATGATAATACGAACTGAGCGAAGAAGATCGACATATCACTGAATCTGCAAGACATCTCAGTTCAGACACTGTGGAACTAAATAGTAACAACCGCAAATCACCTCGCGGACAGGAACGGCTTTAAGTTCGCCGACAGCGTGCAAACTGCGTGATGAAATAGAAAGATGTCAGAACGGTCTAAAAGGATATTTTGATTATCAGTTACGAGGCTCCGAACTCAGACACCCGTAGCTGTTTAGTATGTGCGACCTAAATAATTCAGCACGACATTTTATGAGAAAAATGTATTAAAAGGTGAAGTCTCTGCCGCTGATCAATCTCTTTTGATTATAGTATGAACTAAGCATTTTAGTTCCAATCAGAATCGTAGTGGCTTATTGAATGCGATATAGGCTATATAATGATTTGCGGAGGTCAGTGCTCTTGTCCTCTCGGACAAATCCTTCTACCAAGTCACTGTCTCCGGAAGGATGAAAGCTTGGTTGGCCTGGGCAAGAACCTATCTGACTAGGGAAGGTCGTCAGGTCGAAGTGGCCATTTGTAATGAGATGTAGCTCACTAGACGTGGTTTTGGACGCTGATCTCGAATCTGCCTTCGAAATTTGCAGAACGATTCTCTGAACGGAGTTATGGAGCTTTTTCCTCCGCGTTTACCACGCAACAGGTCATGGGATCGGATCCCTGCTGAGCTTAGCTTTTTGCCTCCTGCGCAAACGTGGCAAAAAGTGGTTGTAGTGTCACTATTACATTAGCGCTCTCTAAACTTGCCTGAAAAACAGTCTTGCGTTCGCTTACTGGCGCGCTTGGTGCCTTGTGATCTGGGAGAATTTTTGGATGCACAGGTGCCCTTGGCGCACAGTGCAGGCGTTTTCGCGCGAGCGAGTGCCATTAGTGATTTACACGCGAACTACGCCAAGGTAGAGGTTTCTAGCCAAATCTGGAATTTTGACCTGACTTCGAAAAGTGGAGCATCCATGGTTTGCTTCAGTTGATGTTCACACCTATTCAGCTGCAAATCATTTTGCTGCACAAAGCCTCGTCTTGCCACTTCTTACGCATTCATTTTGTTACTGCTCCAGTTTTCCTGAGTATTCTAAAAGCAAATTCGTCCAAAGACAAGCAATCGACAAGAGACTGGCCCTGGAACTATTGGTGACCATCATTCGATCAACTGCTACCGCACTTTTCAAAGTTAGGTCAAAACCTCACATCTGGCTAGAAACCTGTCCCCAAGGGTAGTTTTGCTCCCTGAACACGAATATGGCACCCATTTGGCGTTTGAGTGTTTTCTAAACTAAGAGACTCTTAACGAAAAGCAACAAAAGATTCCTCCCAAATATCCGAACCCTCCATGGAACGCCCACGAAGCAAGACCGTTACCACTACACCATGCGCCGTTGGATGTTGAGGCTTCGCGGCTATTCATGCAAATTGGCTGGCAACCGCGCTCGACTGTGTCCTTCATTTTAATTCTAACAAACCTTCATAATTCCTTTCAGAGAATCGTTCTGCAAATTTCGAAGGCAGATTTGAAATCAGCGTTCAAAAACACGTCCCGTGATATACGTCTCTTACAAATGGCCACTTCGACCTGGCGACCATCCCTAGTGAGATTTGACCTCCTGGCGGGCTATGGCTGATACTAGCCACTACACTACCTCCGCCTCAGGAAAAGATATTTGAAAGAATAAAACTTGCTCCTATTTATATTGAAAAATCTGATTTCTCACTTTTGACAGCAGTGCCAAGTTCCGCGTTGCAGCCACTGCAGAGTAGCAATCGATCGTCATGACATCCTTCACGGTTGGTCGCACTCTATAGTAAAACAGTATGAAGTGAAGCAAGAAGCCTCATAAAATCGGGAATGCACTTCAGCACATCCAAACAGCGGTGAGGGTGTCAGAACAGGCATTGCACACTCTATATCTCGGAGATGGGGAGGCGTGGCTGCGTGCTCCATTTGCACATCATTTACGATGTGTTTTTCGTAGGTATTTCCATTTCAAACATCTCCCATCCTGCTTTCTGGTGGACACATGATTACAACTGTTTCAGAACAAAATTAATACAGTAGAAGTGCCGCTCCCCAGCCTGCCGCATTCAGATGGAGTTCACAGCACACCTTCTCATCTCCGGGATACTAAGTGTAAATGTCGCATGTGGTACTGCTGCGAATGTCGTACGCGCGGCATTCGCACCAGTACCAAATTTATTCAATGTCGCAGCGCTTCAGTAAGTCAAGTTAACTAGATAAGAAATACAA